GACACTTTATATAAGCAAAGAAGGTCATCATATTGCTGGTCAGCTGTTTACTTGATCTTAGGTTCGCTTAATGACCTCCTCTAGAGCATCTAGTTTTGCCCTGATATCTTGGGTTACATCATCGCATAAAGTGTTCTCCTCTTTTTCTTTTCCTTTTTTTCCTTGAATCCAAGTAACATAGGCAACTTGGCCTTTGTAATACCAGACAACCCATGCAATATCTCATCAAACTGCTCATTTGGCACATTTTTCTTATGATAGAGAGCTGTAATGAGGTTTAGAAATACCAAGGCACTGATAGGTCGCTTTAAACTAGTATGAACTTATTCCACAATTACGTTGCCTATGTTAATAGAATGCCCTAACAAAATAGAGTGCAACTAAAGCATCCTTTGCAGTGAGGTCGTGGTGTTGTGGTCAGTAGAGAGAAGCTTGTGCTTCATGTAATGATTCCACAACTTAGCCCTCAGTTGTAGCCTCTCGCTATCCACCGTTCATTGGCTGACTTATTGGCCATTCCACTGTGTGTTTGAAAAATAGAGGTCTTCCAATATGCCATGGTAAGTTACATTATCTACCTCTTTTGTGAATGTGGTGTGGTTAAAATATCGATTAGTAGCCAAAAAGGTAAAGTGAATACAAATACCATGAACCACCACGACATGTTGATTTGGGTCAGTTAAGTTGGCATAAAACTCCTTCACCAGAGAGGCATTCACGTTCCCTGGATGCTTGGCAAATTTTTATCATTTATTTTGGTGAACAATGTCCATGACATCTATGTCGAGGTGGACATTTTCAGCGTCAGAGAAAATGAAGCCTAACTCAAAGAAAACTCGGTGGTTTTTTAGCTCTTGAAATCGTTCTTGCATCGATTCATCGATGAAACACGATGGATATGATGGATCCATGCTTGAGGGATATGAGCGCGCCATGGTTTAGATGACAAAATAAAAAAAATGAAAAAACTTGAAGCTTTTTGTCTATGGCGTTCGGTTTGAAGGAGGGAAGAAAAAAAAGATGAAGATTAAGTGAGAGAGTAAAAAGGATGAAAACAAGATGAAAAGGTAAAATGTGGGGTTATTTAACGTGTGGATGGGGTGTTGGTTAAGGAAAAAAGACAAAAATAATAAATGAAAAATTGAACCCTAATAACCCTAAAAAATTCAAAAAGTAAAAAGGTAAGAAAAATTTCCCTCTTATTTTGTCTTGTTACTGCCTATTCCTCTTTCTTTAGCCGTACGATCATCACATACCTACTGTGTGAACCCTAAAAATACAAAATAAAAAAATAATTAACCGAAAATAAACTAAATATAAACCAATATAACAATAATATAAAACAAAATAAACATTTATTTATGCATATTAGTAAATCCAAAATGTAATGGCATCTTCAAAATGCTTAGCCAATTCTGGTATCGTGCAAGAAGAGTGTCGATATGTCACGCAAGGGAAGATCTCCTTGATAAGCCTTTAAACGCTGACTTTTAACTTTGAAAATGGACCCATCATCTATATTCTAGATATTAATAATGTCATGAGGGTAGACAAGGTGTTCTTCAAAAGGTCTAGACCATCGTGACTTCAGTTTGCTGGGAAAGAGCTTCAACCTCGAGTTGAAAAGGAGCACCTGCTGGGCAATATGAAAATACCTTGGCAAAAACATTTGATCATGCCACTTCTTGATTTTTTCTTTGTAAAGCTTGACATTTTCATAAGCTTGTGCTTGAAATTCTTCTATTTCATTCAGATCCAGTAAACGTTTCTCCCCAGCTATTTGTGCTTCAAAGTTCAACTTCTTGATAACCCAATATGCCTTATGCTCTAACTCCACAGGTAGGTGGAATGCTTTCCAATATACCATCTTGAATGGTGACATTCCCAAAGGTGTTTTGAATGTCGTCCAATAATCCCAGAGCGCTTCGTCCAGCTTCGGGGACCAGTTCTTCCTTCTACTCTACGATTTGCTTAATCTCTCGGTTGGACACTTCAGCTTGCCCATTGGTTTGTGGGTGATATGTCATGGAAATTTTATGTCGTACTCTATATTTTTGTAATTCATTGGCAATTAGCTTGTTATCAAAATGAGTGTCCTTGTCACTGATGATGGCTCTAGGTGCTCCAAATCGGGTAAAGATGTTCTTGTGAATAAACTCGAGCATAATTTTAGAGTTATTCCTCGGTGTGGCAATAGCTTTAACCCACTTATATTCATAGTCCATACAAAGTAAACTATACAAATCTCTAAAAGAATATGGGAGCAGTCCCATGAAGTCAATGCCCCACACATCAAAGAGCTCGATCTCCAAAATGTTTTGCAATGGCATTTCATGTCGTCAGGAAATGTTTCCAATGCGCTGGCATCTATCACATGCTTTGCAAAACTCGTGAGTATCCTTGAACAGTGATGGCCAATAAAAGTTTGATTGGAGGACCTTAGCAGTAGTCCACGCACCTCCAAAATGTCTTCCACAGGGTATTGTGTGGCAATGGTGTAGAATGTCTCTTTGCTCCTCCTCAGGGACACAACATCGAATTATTTGATCAGTGCATTGTTTGAATAAATATGGCTCATCCCGGAAGTAGTACTTGGCATTATGCTTGAACTTCTTCCTACCCTGGTTGTTTAATTCATAAGAAAAAAATACCATTAACAAGAAAATTGACGATGTCAGCGTACCATGGAATTGTCGTGGCATATAAAATTTTCTCATCAGAGAATTTTTCTTGAATATCTAAAATGTCATGGCATTCAGAATTGTTCTCTAGCCTAGATAAATGATTTGTAACCTAGTTTGCAGTACCGTTTCTATCTATCATCTCTAAGTCAAGTTCTTGCAGTAGTAATATCTATCTAATGAGTCTAGGCTTGGAATCTTTATTGTTCACTAAATATTTTATAGCTGAGTGATCAGTGTGAACAATGACTTTGGTGCCTATCAAGTATGGGCTAAACTTATGCTTCATTCCAGGTACAACTAGCATAATATATAACATAAAAAATGTTACCTCTACGTTGCTCAAGTACAACTCCTACGGAAAAATCACTCGCATCACACATCAACTCGAATGGTGACGTCTAATCGGGGGGAACCACAATGGGTGCAGAGATAAGTCTTTGTTTCAGCTCGGTGAATGCGCCATATCAATTTTTATCGAACATGAAGGGATGATTTTGTTGAAGCATGGTGTATAAGGACTTAGATATCGTGGAGAATTCCTTTATGAATCTTCTATAAAACCTATCATGTCCAAGGAAACTCATAATTCCCTTGACAAAATTTGGTGGGGGTATCTTCTCGATCACCTTAATTTTAACTTTGTCCACTTCAATGCCCTTATGAGAGATCTTATGGTCTAGGACAATGCCTTCGATCACCATGAAGTGACACTTTTCCCAATTCAGCACGAGATCAGCTTCCTCACATCGCTTGAGTACCTTTGCCAGATTGCTGAGGCATTTATCAAAGTCATCTCCAAAAATAGAGAAGTCATCCATAAATATTTCTAGAAAATCCTCAACTATGTAAGAAAATATGGCTTGCATGCAGCGCTCAAAGATTGTCGGAGCATTACAGAGTCCAAAAGGTCTGCTCTGGAAAGCATAAGTGCCATAGGGACACGGAACATAGTCTTCTCTTGGTGACAGTGCGTGTTGGTAACAACTCATTTTCCTCACTTGTCACCACGGTCGTACTTCCCTTATTTCATACACATTGGATGAGACTCACCCAAGAACTATTAGAGATTGGGTAAATCACTCCATCATCAAGCCATTTGAGAATTTCTTTCATCACGACTTTCTTTATGATTGGGTTTAATCTTCTTTGTGGTTCTATAGATTTGCCATGGCATTCTTCCAGCAGGATTTTGTGCATGCAAATGGCGGGACTTATTCCTTTCAGATCCGACATAGTCTATCATAACATTTTCTTGTGTTGTGACAAAACACTTAGCAAATTACATTCCTGGTTAAGAGTAAGGGTAGAGGAAATAATAACAGGTAAAGTTTCATTACTACCAAGATAAGCATATTTAAGATGATGTGGCAAATTATTTAACTCTAGGGTAGGTGCAAGCTGTAATGAGGGCTTAGAAGGAACAAACTCATCGAAATCAAGAGGTTCAAAACGTGTACCTAGGCTATCTATGAGAAAGCTAGCCAGCTGCTCTTCCAAAGAAAAGTTTCTTCTTCAATAAGCCTCTCATATTTTCTCCTATTGAACATGGAATAATAAAACTGCCTGGATCTTGTCGCTTTGGTGGCAGCTTGCTTAAGGTAGAGCAATATGCTTTTATCGTGGCTACTGTCTCGTACTTCTCAGTTTTTTTCTTGGTAACAATCTATTTGAGGAGTTTAGCATATATCGACATTTGTTATATAGCTTCAAGAAAAGGAACATTGATGTGAAGTTGGTCTAGAATGTTGACAAACTTCTTGAATTGAATGTCATCATTATACTTCTTCAGTCTTTTTGGGAAAGGAGGTGGGGGGTCTGACTACCTTTAATGAAGGGATTGGAACAACATTTGTCATGGCATTTTAATTTGTTCCCTCAGTTGCTTTACTAGACGAAGCCTCGTCATTTTCCTCTTCCACTTGCATCTCTTATGGCAATTCACGCTCATCTTGCACGGTTATAGGGGGTAAATCATTCTTCGATCTTCTCCTAAACTTGTATTCTACATTGATTTGGGTGCCACTTCGTAGAGTGAGTACACTGCATTGCTCTTTGCCATGAGGTTTTGTGACTTCAGTGTCACTCGGCATACGACTTGCGTTCTGAATGTCTAACTCGAATGCTCCATGTAATTTTCGCCCAATTCTAAGCCTTGTAGATGAAAATTGATAATCATTTTTTGCAATCCTGTCTAGAATGTCGAATGCCTCTGTAGGTGATTTATTGAGCAATGTCCCATTTACCGAGGTATCTAGCCTCATCCTCGTGGGCACATTTACTCTGTTATAGAATATTACCACTTGAGTCTAATCTTGAAAACCATGATTTGAGCATTTGTGAGGTAATCCTTTATAACAATCCCATCGTTCATACATTGATTCCTCATCAGCTGGACGAAAAGAAGTGATGTCGTTCCTCAGTTTGGTATTCATGTTCGATGGATTATATCTTAGCAAAAAACTTTTGTACATATCAGTCCAAGACTCTATCAAACCAGTTGGAACGCCACTCAACCAAGCCCTTTCTCAGCCATGCAGAGAATATGGAAATAACTTTAAATTTAATAAATCTTCGTGCAGTCCTTGTTGACAGAAAGAATCACATACCTCTAAGAAGTTACGAATATGTTGTCTGGCATCTTCATTTTGAATCCCCCCCAAATTGCCCTATGGAATTTAGCACATTGAACATGACAGGTTTGAGCTCGAAATGGCCTCCATGAATCTCGGGTGCCACAATTCCTGGATTTAAGTCGTCTAAGATAGAATTTAAGTGATCACGAATGGCACGAGGTCTGGCTACATTCCAAGGATTCGAAATTGCCTTGGTATTCTGATCTTCCTCATGACCAATACCTTGATTTCCAATTTGATACAGGTTTGCATGTTGAGCACGTCATCTTTACCTAAACAACCTCTCAATCTCAGGTTTAATTGGTTCTAATGGCTCGTCAAAGTGTCTTCTGGTCATACACCAAGAAAAACTAGAAAAAGATAACGAAAATAATAAGTAAAACTATATATAAAAAGTAAAAAAGTAAAATAAAAATTCTATGACAAAACTAATTAAATTCCAGTTGCCAATCTCCGACAACGACGCCAAAAACTTGTCCGCGAATTGTGACTACTATATATGGTCGCGAAAATATGTGCAAGTATACACAATCAAACAAGTAATACAGTGATGAGTGAGTATCGTATCCACGGGGATTGGAGGAAATTTATAAGTTCAATCAAAGCAATTTACTATTTTACGTAAGTATAGTTAGCGATGTTATATACAAATGAGAATGATGTGGCAAAATGAAATGGATGTTGTGGAAATGAAATGATGGTGTAATGGAATTTGGTAGCAAATGGAAATGTCGTGGCAAAATGGATGGAAATGTCTTGGCAAAATTAAGATGAGTGTAGTGGAATCAATTGAAAATGCAAAGGCAAAATTACATGTAAACACTATATTTGATTATAAGGACTTTAGACTCCTCACACAACAAGCTACTATAGGAATGAATGATAAGAGTCACTTCACTTAGGAAACTTAAGTCTACTTCTCAGGATTGTCTTGCTTCTATGCCTTACTTGCTTGACAGAGTTTACTAAGTGTGTCGTATGCTATCTCTAGTCAAGGGACTCGACAGGTTCAGGATTTCATGGCAAAACCTATTGGCGTTAGCAAGTGAATTGATCCTATTGGTTCAGATAACAGAATATGTCATGACAATACCACTTAGCGACAACAATAACATCTAACCTCTCGAACGAGCACTACTCATTTTAGTCAATTGGAATCCTAGCCTTATGTCTATGGTTGGATTAGGCTTAGTTACTATCTATAATCCTTTGCTTATGTGGATCCTCCCAAGTTTCTCTCAAACACAAAGGATATTCTACTTAGTCATTCTCTCGAACACTAAGCAATCTTCTAAGAAATGGCTACTCTCATAGCACCTACAACCTTAAGGCATTAAACATCATAAACAAAACAAATAACATCATACAAAAATAACCATCAATTAAAATAAAACTTAAATAACCATATGGAACTTCCACAAAATAAGACTAGTTCATGGTGGGGTTTGAATATTCCAAGAAACAAATCATGAAATTAATTCGTTCTATATAACCCAAATAAGATGAAAGAGAGAAAACATCAAAGAGAATGAGTAAAAGCCTTCAACGTGCACTACCGAAGCTTCCCTCGACCACCACTAATTGCCCCAGCTTGCTAGCTCCTCTCGGACGCCTAGCTCGCCACTCCCTCTAGCTTATTAATGGAGGAATACCACGACAAAGACGATTGACGGAAAAAGAAAGACCTTTTTTCTCTCTGAAATTAAGCTCAAACCGACGTGTGTCAAAGTCTCTTTCTTTTGGTCCTATTTATAAGGGAGAAAAAACATAGGAATTTGTGTTAAAATTCCTAGGATACCCCCATTAGACTCCTTTCACGTGAGTGGGTGAGTAGCTGTGGAAGTGGTCCCCTCCAAGGTAGCTGGGCATGGTTCCCTCCTAGGTAGATTGCAGATGGGTGTGGTCTCGACAGAATCAGTTGACCCAGGTGGTAGATGTCTCCTCATAGGTGACTGGTGGTTGAGGGAACGTGAAGACAAGGACAATTGGCTCATAAAAATATCATCTTTCATATTTTCTACTTTTAAAATGCCATCTGATTTGGCATTTACATTCTACTCATCACTCTCATCATGTCATGGCAATTCCCTTTTTTCTTATCCTTGCTCTCAAATCCTGCACATCAACAAACGAAACACCTTCCCCATAATACAGCACCGTTTACAAAATAAAATACCGCGACAAAATATATTTCCACCACATGCAACTATATGTTCATAAAAGAATCTATATGTTCCTAAAAGAATCTATATGATCCTATATGACCTCTTAGACAGTCAATAACTTAAGTAAAAATGCCCTAAATATGGCCTTTTCATAGATTTATCAAGTTACACAAGCTACTTGCTCGTATATCAAGCCTTACTCTTCTACTAAGTTTTGATGCACGCCGAAACACTCTGTTGAAGGTTTTGAATCAAACCCTAATGTCGAAAGACTTTCCTATGGATAAACTAGATAGATTGGTTACAAATATTCAAGCAGATAACTTCATTTCCTTTATCTAATGATGAGATTATGTCTGGAATGTTTGGCAGCTACAAAGCTTTACATATCGCCATCAGATGCAAGGAACATGTCTTATCTCGAGTATTGGTTGAAAATGTCTCTACACTGAATGTAATGCCATTATTGACCCTAAAAAAGTTTCTCATTGACAGTACACTCATGAGAAATTGTCCATAGCGTTGTTCGAGCATTTATGGAACCAAAAGAGAAAGTGTTAGGGAAGATTGACATTCCTATAACTATTGGCCCATCTACCTATGAGGTTAAGTTCTTTGCCATGGAAATCATGCCAACTTAGAACTACTTCCTAGGAAGACCTTGGATTCATCAAGCAGTGGCAGTCCCATCCACACTGCACCATAAACTCAAATTTGTGATTGAGGGGAGGTTGTTATGCATAAATACTGAAGAAGACATAATTGCTTTTGTCTCCACTAGTTCCCCTTATGTTGAAGTAGATGAAGAAGCCCTTGAATGTTCCTTAAGATCTTTGGAGTTTTTCAATGTCACATTCTTGGCTGAGGGAAGGAAGATATCTAAGACCATATTATCCAACCGCACCTGAATGAAAATCAAGCTGGCTTTGGGAAGGGAAGCAAAGGCTGAAAAAGGGTTAGAAAGTCATCTACAAGGATCTATTAATCATGTGTTTCCAACCATTAAGAGAGATCATTTTGTCTTGGGATATCAGCCAACCCTGGGAGAGAAATTGAAGGGAATCCAGAAGAACCAAGAAATGAGAAGAGCAAGTATAGTTGGAGAAGACCTCAAGTGGGAGTCGATGACTTTTCCACCGCTATATGATAGCTTTATTTCTAGAGATTATATGTTCCAAGGAAGTCAAAAAGTCAAGAAACCTATTGTTGAGGATGCACTGGAAGATTTGAGCACTAATATCATACTAGGTGATGAGGATGGGGAAGGAAGAGCTGTAGTAATTTATCTTGATCCACCAGGATTTGTGCTAGATAATTGGACTGTTGAAGAATTACATGTTATTTACAAAATTGTTTTATAGTAATACACGAAAACTTTCCATATTTACTAAAACCGGGGCAATAGGTGATCTTTTATAAAGGGTTAACATATTTGTCTTTAATTTTCAATAAAATATGCATTTCTATTGATTCAAAAAGTGGAAAATATTCTCACATGCATTCTTTCATTTTATATTACTTATATATTATTTCATTCTATTTATCTTTATATGGGGACCCCAAATATTAATGCATGAATGATGATAACTTTGACCTGGAGATTGATTTCGAGCTACCCATAGGTCAAGGGAAATCGAGGATTGTGATAATGATGAGGAATGTGACTTACCTTCTGAATTACTAAAAATGGTGGAAAGGGAGGATAAATAGATTCTGCCTCATGGGGAGCCTACTAAAACTTTGAATTTAGGATCAGATGAAGAGAAAAAAGAAATCAAGATTAACACCAATTTTTTCTATCGATGAACGTCAGAATTTGATTGAACTGCCTGGTCATGTGAGGACATGCGGAGTTTAGATACAAAATTGGTGGTACAAATTGCCAATAAAACTATTGTAACATCCCAAACTATGGGTTAGTGACTAAATGGTAAAGTTTCAGAAATTTGGTGATTAAAGTAGAAGAATGGATTAGTTCAATGATTTATCTGGAAATAAATCCTAAAAGTTGTTAGTAATTATCAAATGAAGTAGAGGGCAAAATGGTCATTTGACTAATAAATGAATTAAAAATAGTTATGATAACATATATATCCTTATCATATCTATTTTTAATTCATTTATTAGTCAAATGACCATTTTGCCATCTACTTTATTTGATAATTACTAACAACTTTTAGGATTTATCTGGAAATAAATCCTAAAAGTTGTTAGTAATTATCAAATGAAGTAGAGGGCAAAATGGTCATTTGACAAATAAATGAATTAAAAATAGATATGATAAGGATATATATGTTAGAGGGGATAAGGATGAAGAGATATTCTCTTCATCATCATCTTCTTCTTCTTCTTCATGTACGAGAGAGAGAAGAGCCAAGCTTGCAAAGGTAAGATTCCTTGTTAGCTGATTATTTGTTAATTTTAAAAGTGGGTTTTGATCATTAGGTAATACTTAAGCTTATGGAAAGCTTAAGGTGTCCTAAAATCAAAAGATAAAGAAGTTATGAAAGATTAAAGAAAATGAGTTTCTTAAGGAAATTCTGGAAAAGAGTTAGTAAGTGAATTTTGAGAAGGAATTTGACTTGTCATCAATCTAATTAAGGAATATGGAGTGTTAGAATTAGA